ACACTTTTCTCCCCCTGTCTTAGGTTCTTCACATCACTTTTCAACTTATAGACTCCGGCTACATTCAACTTCTGTGAATAGGTCTCAGTAACACTGTCCCATRTCKCCTTAGCCGAAGACATCCAGAGATRRTGYTRACTTATATGAGGTTGCATAGAATTGACCAACCATCCTATGACAGTATAGTTCTCTTGCATCCATTTCTCAAATTCAGGGTTTGTCTCTTTGGGTTTCACTTTACTACCTGTGAGATACCCGAGTTTTCCTCTACTACAGGCATAAATTCTTATAGATTGTGCCCAAGCAAGATAATTTGTCCCATCTAGCTTGATTGTGGTCACACCAATCAAAACGGAATCTACCGAGCCAAGGCTGAAAACCGGCACTTGCTTGAACTCATTTTCGTATGGCTCCATTAATCAAAAGAAAATCACAGAACCAGAAATTTTGTCAATATAAACTTACTTGAAGTCAAACCAAAACCCAAACTTTTGAAAACTAGGGTTTTACTCCGTCCAACTGTTGGGGAGGAAGAGAGAAGATGCAGCTGCTCCTACCAGAGCTTCCCAATCTCTTCCAAACCTGAACCGCCCTCCTTTAGGAGTCAAAAGACACCTCTCAAGCACAGAGCGCCACACCCAAAGCTTCACCTTTACCTGTACCTTCGAAAATCTCTAGTCGGCTAGGGTTTTGGGCAGCAACAGAACAACACCACTTCTTGGCAATATCCAGCCAGATTTAAACTCTCCAAACCCTCTACCAATTAGGCCAGAGATCCTCTGAACTATGGAGAACCTATCTCTTCATACACTCTCTTAATCTAAGGGTGTATGGGAAAAGAGGAAGAAGGAAAAAAAGGAAGAAAGAGACCTGCTCTGATACCAAGATGTAAATCAATCCTCAAAAATTAGGTGTAAATTTGAAAATTAGAGAGAAAAGGAAGAAGTAAGAGCAGCAGTACAAGAGAAGAAGATGGCGAAAAGAGGAGGAAGAAGAAGAAAAGTTCGAATAATCTCCCCTTTCTTCTCTAATCCTTTTTATTAAGAATTAATGTTAATGTAATTACAAGTATGCCCTTAAGTGGGCGGCCAGCTAGGCAGTAACATGAAGAGATCAAACAAAAAGAAATAACAGGCCCATTAAGAGAGGCCCATTAGCTAACAAGAAAAAGAAAAGATATTACAAGAGAAGATATTAGGACCCATTCGGCTCAGTCTCTTTACAAAAAGTAAAAGCCCTCAAGTAGTGGTTATCCTCAATTAACCACTACACCCAGAAAAGCATTACAACTCCCTTCCTTGGGGTTGCAATCCCCGTAACATATGAATTCTTAATGCCCTTGTTTTGTTTTGAGCCATCTGCCAAACCATTGGAAGATGTTGGTATTTTGTACCCATTTAACCATAGCCCTTAATTCCATGATTTCAAAAATCTCCCCAATCTTATGTTGAAATCTTCATGGTCTCTCACTTCTACTCATCTGTCACAGTGTCACCCTGTGGAAACCTGAGATCTCCTTCTAATATAATATTTTTGCAGTTCTAGGACTATGCTCTCCTTACACCAGCGGTCCCCTTCTAGTATAACATTTATTTTTTTAATTTCTCAAAAAAAGTCATCCTTTGTATGGTTATAAAGGTTGCATTTGCAGTTTGTTGGAGCAGGTTGTAAGAGTATTAGTAGCAACTTCTAGAATGGAGGTACAACAACTTTGTAGGCATGACTTAGTTGTAGAATGACAGTTTTTTATATTGCTCCCATTTGTTCCATCTTCCTGTTCTGTACACAGCCAGGCCAGTGGATCCAATCCTTTTTTCCGTATGACCAAATGCTGATATGATATCTGTTATGAACAAAATCTACTTTGGATTATACTGAATTTATTTGAGCATTTTGTATAATTGAACTAATATTTTTATGGAAGGATTGTTTCTTTTTACATTTGAAAATTGAAGTGTTTTGAATTGGATGGATTCAAAGAAAAAGAAGATTGTTTTGGTCCACTTTATTTTTTGCCTTTGATCTGTCTGCAGAATCCACAGATATAAGTGCTCCTGACTCAACACCTTGAAACTGGTTTTTATCATCTATGTTGACATCTGTAGACGTATCTGCCTGCTGACTGTTGTCAACCATTCCAGAGTTCCCCCAGTTTTCAAAATGCACATTCCCAAATGAAGCAGCAACGGGCATTGTTTCCTTCTGGAACGAGTATTGCCCTGTATCAACTCCCGTTGCAGAAGTTTTGGTTTACTTATTCACTTACTGTTTATAACTGAAGCTTATCTTTTTGTTGATAAAAAAGCTTTTTTTTTTTCAAGTTATCAGAGCAGGATTTGTTATTACTTTAGATGAAGCAAATTAAAATATCCATTAATTTTATTTAATTTTATTTTGCATCTGTGCCTATTATTGTCTGGTCCTTCTGAAAACTTTCTGGCTTGTTTTGGGCTCCTGCCCATCTGGTTGCACTTGGGTTCATGTGGGGCCTTTTTGTGGGAATTCTGTCAAATTTGGTTGAGGATTTTTCAGGATTGTGATCAACATGGCTTGTTTCACCTGAGACTAATTACTATATCTGTCACATTTAACCCCTTAATATTGCAAGTCATCAAATCCATAATCATAAATGGATGTATAAAAAGTGTATAAGAAGATGAAAATAGATTTTTAGTGAAATATTGTATCATAGTTGGTGGCATCTCTTTGCATGAACTAAGGAAATGAAGTCTTTAATTATTGATTTGGTAAATGGTTGTCTTTTTGACCTGCATGCATTTATGTCTCCAAGTAGGCAAGTTAAACCCATCCCAGCCCCCGATTTATGTATGTTTTTGCTTCAGCAAATTTTCCTACCCCCTTGAAGTGACGAATAGATTGGTACATTGGTATGTAATGTGTATCTTTGTTTTGCTAGATGAAGTGCCATTTTATGCTACTCCAGATGAGAGAATTGTGGAGATACAAGGTGGAGCATTGAAGGTTCTTAAAGCACTAGAAGCAGTAGTGGGACACCTAAGGAAGTTTTTAGTTGACCCAAGTGTTATTCCTTTATTTGAAAAGACTGTAAGTTTTGTTTTCACTTGACGTGACAGTTCATTTTGGTGTCATTTAATGTATTGAAGCCCATTTTTTTGTCTTTCATCAGTATACCCAGACAATTTCACAAGATCGTTCAACAGACACCTGGGCTGATAAAACTCAGTCGTTACTACATACAGCTCCTCAAACAGGGATTAGTAATGATTACTCACTCTCATTGAAGAGGGATTCTTTATTTCATGATCGGGAACCTCAGCTGGAGTCACAAATTCAACACTCTGGGCTTTCACTTTATGGACAGGACCCTTCACTTGCGGGATTACGTTCTACAGGGCTTGGTCGAGCTTCAGCTCCTATTGTCACCCAGGTTGGTTATTTTATTGTTTGTTTGTCTTTTTATTTGACATGTGAATTTGATTTTTTTTTTTAGTTATGGTAAGAACCAAATGGCAAGATTTGAACCCATGACCTTTTTTTCCATGCATATTGTCTTGTTACCATTAATCCACTTCATTATTTGTGTTCATTTATGAATCCTTTTTTATCAGTGTATTCATTTATTTATGAATCTTTAATGTACATGTTGCATCAATGCACATTTATTTCAAAGAAAATGTGAGTTAGGAGGTTTGAACCCTGGTCAGTTACTTTAAAAATTAAAGAACTAGCCATCTATCCACTACATTCAACTATAACCTTATTTGTGTAATATATTATTTATAGTGTTTATGTGTCTTGTGGTATCACGGTTCGACCTCCGGTTACTGAGGTTGAACCTCTGCCTTGTGAACCTCTCCTCTTTCTAGTTCTTTGTTTTTGATCAGTAACAGAAAACTTTCATTAATTAAGAAAAAAAGTTTAAAATACAATGGTGGGGGGAGGTAAACCCTCTTACCACACCCCCAAAAGGAAATTTACAATGAAGCCCAAAACAAATGACTTCTTCCCACCCCCTGTTTGGCCAAAGCATCTGAAAATGAATTAGCACATCTTTTAACCCACTGGACACGCACATCCATTCCTTGGGTTTGCCACTTGAAATGCCTTCGTTCATTAATGTATGCCCATCCATCATTTGCTTTCTCTATCCAGCCAGTTACCACTTGCAAATCTCCTTCGGTAATCAACCTATTTATATTCAACTCCTTACTTTTTAGCCCTTTTTACCCCCTCCAAGAGGGCCAGAATTTCTGCTCTAAATGAATCTCCAACTCCAATTGGTCCTGAAAAAATGGCTATAATTGAACCTGCCTCTGTTCTGAAAACACCACCAACCCCTGATGGCCTTGGATTTCCTTCACTTCTCCCATAAAAGTTGAGTTTGATAAAAACCTTCCATCAGGGGGAGCCACAGCAGATGGGCATTGATTCTGCTAGGAACCGAGACTGCTATTTCCTGCCAATTGTTCACAATGGTCTCTATTGGAGTATCCTAAAATAGGTTTATTGTTTTTACCCATTGTGCTATCCTCAAAGAAATCACTTCTGTAATTGTGTCCCTGCTTTCTTTTTCAGCAAATACCCTATTGGTTCCTTTCCTCCCAAATTGTCCAACAAACTGCTGCCCTGGTGCACCTCCACAAGATTTACCCCTCTTTTTGATCCAGCTACCAACTGAATAGGTGAAGAGGCTTCGAATGCTTAATGGGGGAGTCCACCTGCAACCAAATAAAGAGAGAAACCGCTCCCAAATAGATGAAATAAAATGGCAGGATATAGTAAATGAGAGCAAGACTCACCATTGGCTTTACAAAGGGTACACCAGTGCGGGGACAAGCACCAAAAAGGCTTCTTCTTTTGAAGATGATCACAAGTATTAATTCTTTCCAAAGCTATTTCCCAACAGAGTGCTCCGACCCTAGGTGGGACCGGTCTTCCCCACACTTCCAGTTCTCTGTCTGTCTGGATCTCTAAACATTGTTTTTTCTTTTCCTTCTTTCTTTGAACTACTGAAACCGATATCAGTTTTCTTGTTCAATTTACTATAGAAACTGGTATTATGGTAGTTTTTTTAATTGTTCCTTGGTCTTCTTCTTTTGTTGTAAAAGCTATTACTGTCTTTTAAGGTGCATGTATTTTCTGTTAAATGTTAATACTTGAAAATTTTGAAAGTAACACACTGATAAGAAAGTTTTTGGGTGATTTACAAGTTTAGGTGGTTGAGTTGCTCAAGGAGGTGGTTGGGGGTTGGTAGGGAATGGAGTTTATTTCCTTTTCTTCTCTTAGGTGACTACTGGTCACCTTCTTTGTAATTTTCTTTTTTTTTTTTGTTTTTTGCTTGTCTTAAAAAACCCATCTTATGCCAAACTGTCTATGCCCTTGTAAATTATCAATTAACATGCCTCTCTAGCAAGCCTAATTTTGCTAGCCCAACATGCTTTTATAAATTCATACAGTGTGTATGGCCTTTTGTAGTCTAGCTTGAGGAAATAGGTTAAATGCATTGTTTTGAAAAGAAAATGATAGAATACAATGTTTTGAACCTGTCATTGATGATTGATCCATCTGGTCTAAGCACCACTTGGTCACAAATCTGGTTTGGTCCAATCTCCAATCCGCCTGGTCACAGAAAACCATTGCTTGGACCACTATGCATTTCACCCATTTATTGATACTGAACAGAACGGAATGGTGAAAGAGGATTCATGTAGCCAACCTGATATGGTTGGGACAAAGCTTATATGATGATGGTGAAGGGATGAATCTCTGTCTCTTTGTTACACACACACATAAAAAGAATGTAACAGAGTATTTATTAAAGAGAAACATGCCATGAATGCAATAAGGTATTTATTTTATCTTCAGGTTTAATTGTATATTCTGTTCAGACAAGGAGAGGAACTTAGAAAATGTGCTAGGGGCGATCCACATCCAGGTGGTACACTGGCTGAAATCTCTAGATTTGTTTAGACTTTTCAGTGGATGGTTTGCTAAGAAAATGAAAAGAGATTGTGAGTTCAGTCCCAGCTAAGAAGACCTCAAGTCCTTTATGGACTCCTCCCCCTAGTGGCTTTATCAAGCTGAATTTCGATGGTAGTAGTATTGGAAATCCAGGGCCCTCTGGAATTGGGGGAGTACTAAGGAATGAGCAAGGGATTGTAATAGCTCTGTTTTCAGGCCCAATTGGAGTAGGTGACTCTCTTAGTGCTGAGCTTCTGGCAGCTTTGGAAGGAGTAAAAGAGCTAAAGACCTGAATATCAGTTAGCTGATCATAGAAGGAGATTCTAAGATAGTAGTGAGCTGGTTAAAGGAAGACAAGAATGGCCTTTGGAATTACAGCAATGAAAAGAGAAAGTTTAAGTGGTTGACAAAGGACATTGATGTAAAATGTACTTGGGTAAAGAGAAGTGCAACTGCTTTGCCAATGGGTTAGCTAGGTTCTGTTTTCTGGGCTTATTTATAACTGTTTTTTACTTTCTTTTTAGGTGGATTTTGGCATCCATGTTGGGTTAAGATAGTTTAGCTCCCCTCTGTAACTAAAACATATTTCTTAATGAAAAGTTCATGTTATTGATAAAATATTCTGTTCAGTAACTGCTTGATTAAAATATTAGGATCATCATGTTTTTGTTTTACATCGTATTCTTCTAAACCAGGAGATGAAAAAGGTTCCATTTCAGAGCTTTCAAGCCTTCCTCTTTCTTCCTACTTGTACGTTCATTTACTGGTTAGTGGTCTTGATCACATTTAAAATAAAGAGGGGTTTAACCCTAAAGCTCTGTAGGCGCATGCCCAATACTTGAAACATTGATTCTCCTTACAAGTCAATCTAGCTGGAGAGAGAATGGAAATTAGTGTGTAGGGGTGCAACTTGGGATGGCTGAATTTACATTATACACTGCTTCGGGCTTGGGCTCCGGCCAGGCCTATTCAAATTTTGGCATAAAAACCCATCTCGAGCGTGCCCAAGTTTCACCCCTTTTAGTGTGAGGATTATGGTGTGATTGGAGTGAAACAGACAAAATGTTCAAAGTAATCAGAAATTGATAAGCAAAATATAAATAAAATGATGCACCTCCATCAAACTTCCACTAAGCCCAGCCAGACTGCCTAGCAAGGCAAAATTGTATAAAGGAGAGAGAAAAGGTTGAGGGGAGCTAATTAATCACAATCAAATAATGATGTAAATAGACAAAAGGGTTCTAATTAATCACAATCAAAATATAATGTAAATAATGATACACTTTCAGCTCACTTAAAATTCTGTAATGAAGATAATGTATGCCGATTTCCCATTTTCATTTATATAGGTGTACCAAATACTTCCCTCCCTCATACTTCTGTGATATGTAATGTTGAATTAACAGCTTGTTTAAGAAACTTGAATTCCCTTGTGATGATGTCTTTGGGCATGCCAAACTTTGAAGTCTAGCTCATGAAATAACTCACCTTACCCATCATGAAATATATGAATTTTGTTTAGAGGAATTAGTAACCAGAGATGTGTTTTTTTTTAACTAGTGAAGATCCCTCATTTAGCACTTTGATTTGATGTTGGTACATTAAATCTATTGCCTTACCTGCTCTTGAAAACTGAAAAATGTATATGTAGTAGTTTTCTTCAGAGATAACTTCTTCCGATAATCAGAACTTGCTAGTTTTTATGTATCGGTTTTATTTCTTTCTTGTCAGTTTGCTTCAACTATATATGAGCTCTAACAATGGCTATTAACATTTTGGCTGAATCATTGTTCGGAAAAATGGAATCCTGCTTTACTAACCCATGTTCTGATTTCGTTGTTTAACTTCTGGTTCTTTTGATTCAGATTACACAGACAATGCAAATACCGTTGTCTTATGCAGAGGACATAATTGGGATTGGAGGAACAAATATTGCGTATATTCGTCGTACCAGTGGAGCCATTCTCACTGTTCAGGAAAGTAGGGGCCATCCTGATGAGATTACTGTGGAAATAAAGGGCACCTCGTCACAGGTTCAGACAGCTCAACAACTTATTCAGGTAACTGGCAACTTATCCCCTTCTCCTTAATATAGGGAGATTAGACGACTGAATACCTCCCTGGATAGTTTTTTTCTTATTTGTGATGAGAAAGGAAATGGAACGGGCTGATTAATTGATGGGAAAAGGCAAGGAGATAGAGCAGTTGCTATCCAATTGTACTAGATAATGGCAGTGTCTTTCTATTTCAGCCCTTGGAATAGTCACCATTTCAGGGTTATGTCTTATGTACTCCAGTAGGAGTAGGAGCTGTAGTTGGTTAGATCTCAGAGGTAGTTGTAATGTTTGCATTTTTTATGCGATTGTTCTTGAATCTTGCAGTTTGTATAAAACTTCAAACATCTGTTGTGTTTGACATGACCTGTAGCAATAATCGCACTAAAGCTTGTCTCAATCATTTGTAGCAGCCATCAGAACATGTTTAGAACATAAGGCTGTTGCATTGCCATCCTACAACTATCTTCTCCCAACATCAGTGAATGTGTCTGGAACAGGCTTAGAATGTCCCTACTTAATGCTGCTTAGGAAAATGAAAATCAAACTCAAGGTCGAGTCCTTCCAAGAACTCAAAACTTTGTTCTGCTCTATTAGCATCTTGTATTGCTCTAATTCCACTGTGCATTGCCACTTGTTCATCTCTAAGTGATTGATCTCTTCATGAAGATTCTGAAGAGAAGTGAAGTAAGATGACATGGTCTTCTCACCCTGGCATAACTTAAATACCCTTCTCTTTAGCTGATAACCCTTGCTGAATTCTTGATTAATGGGTCTTACCAACCTTGTCTTGGGTTGCATCAGGTGTCTATAGTAACCTATGGTTCTTGGTCTCTTGGATACGTACAGATTTGTTAAACTAGCCAGCCATGGCATCAATTTGAGATTTTGTTGGTATTACTCAGTATAGGAGGCATCCTCAGATGTAGGCTGTTTCTCTTTCCAGTAAGATAGCAAAACATTCCCCTTCCACCAATGTACAACTTTGCAGATTAAGCTCCAAAAAGTTATTCCTATATAGCTTTGCTGTTTTTGGTTTTTTAATAATAGGACCATGGTTTGCAATTTTGATATCGATGGACATTTCACTATGCAGAGATAGGAAACTTTTGAGGATGTTTTGCTAATTTTTCTAAGATATTTGTAAAATTTATAAAACAAGGAAATTTTCTAAAATCATGTAATTAATAAACCTTAAAGGAATCATTGGAAGAAGTACAATTGCTCATGTAAAGCTACAAAATCATAGCAAACTTCTTTTTATGGATCAAATAGAGAAGATTAAAAGACTTAAATAGGTATCTTTCTCTCTGTCTCTCTTTTAGTCTTGTATATCTATCTTTATTATGTATGTCATTTACTTTCTATTTTGACTTTTGTTTTTTTTGGTTACTATATGTTTTGATTAGGTTGAGAACCCTCTTTTCTATTTGTATGATTTCTTTTTCTTATAGGAACATAGTTAAAAAAATTATGATGATTTTAATGAAATATCAAAAATGTTTCGAATAATATTTAAAAACTTAACCTTAAATATGCAGTCTATTAATGAAACCTGAAATGTTGCTGACATATCAACAATATATTGGATATATTAGGAAAAAAGTATTCTTGGATTTTTTTTTTTGATAAATGAGTAAAGAATTCTTGGATAATTTCATATCACTTCTTAGCAAAATGGGAAGTATGGGGAAATTTTGCTAAATATCGTCAATATTGCGAATCATGATCTGGACTATCATTCACACTTCTAGAATCTGAAATGGTTGTAACTACCTTACTTTCTGTTGTCCAAATTCTTCAAACCAAGAAAGAAAGTGCAAAAATAAATAGCAATATTCTCTCCTTTTATACTCCTACAACAATAAGAGAAGGCCAATGGGCAAGACAACAATTTATGGCACACATCACACACCTCCAGACAAGAATAAATTCCCACACACCATTCCAATACATCAAACAGGTTAGAAAGTTCATCAGGGAATGTTACTAAAATAGAGCGAGAGTTCTCAACACAAAACAGCATAGAAATCCTTCAAACAGAACTGATGGCAACGGTAACAGGGTGTGTTCGGGGAGGTTTTTGTAAATTCTAGACCCTACCTGCCTCTATAAACCTCCCAACCCATACCCGCCCCAAAACCCATAGTGGGTTGAGTTTTGAAAATCTAAACCCTCCCCGCACATGAGAATGCAAAACCTCCCCGGTCCTACCTTCCCCACATTCAAGGATAGGGGTGGATTGGGTTTTGAACCCCCATCTAATTTCCTATTATTTCTTGTTATATATATATATTTTTGTTGGAAAAAGGTAAAGTAATTTATTCAGACTATAAAGAAAGATACAACAAGGCCCAGACCACTAATTCTGCCTGTGCCCAAAACAGATTACTAGTTCATCCATGATTTAGAACAAAACAAAAGAGATACATTCTGGTTTTTAAATTCCTCATTCACCGACACCCAGGAACATAGCTTGCCCATGGCTCTCTGCACTACTTCATCTAGGCTTTTGAATTGACCACAGAAAATTCTGTTATTTCTTTCAGTCCAAATGGACCAAAGCACAACTTGTGGAATGGTATTCCAAACAAGCTTTCCTTTCTTGCTGAGACCCTCAATTCTCCAACACATCAGCAGCTCCTTCATAGATTTTGGCATAGACCAGCTAATCTCCAAAAGCTTGAGAAAATGCCCCCAAACTGAAAAAGAAACCGGACAATGGATACACAAGTGCTCTGTAGATTGTTGCAAGATTTCCACACAAAACACAAGAGAGATCCAGAATCTGAATACCACGTCTCTCCAGGTTAATCTTAGTCAGACATTTGTCAAGAGCCATTGTCCAGACTAGGAAATTGATCTTGGAGGGACTAGTTGGATTCCGAATCTGCCTGGCAGGGAAGTTCCCCTGTCTTGATCCGCACAACTTAAGAAACAGGGATTTAACTGAGAAGCTACCATCTGCATTCCACTTCCAAGACCATTCATCCTCTGAACTCAAATCAATCCTCTGATTTTGGAGGAGCCCCAACAGCACCACATACTCTTCCACTTCCCAATCAAACAAACTTCTCCTACACAGAGGAGTCCAAATGGTGGAATCTCCAGAGATGTTTAAGCTATTAGCAACTGAAGAGTCTTGATTCACAGAAATTTGGAACAGAAGGCGAAAAGCATCAGCCAAGGAACCCTCTAAACACCAGGGATCCTTCCAAAATTTGATTCTGTTCCCCTTACCAATCTTAAATCTAATCCCATTTGGATGAGGATCCTTAGATCTCCAATCACCCCATACCACTCCATACTTTGCTGAAATAAGACTTCTCCACCATGCATTCCTCTCAGAAGCAGATCTCCATAACCATTTACTGAGAAGAGCAGAATTAAATTCCTTCAACTTCCTAATTCCCAGTCCACCGACTTCCTTAGGAACATACACTTGCTCCCACTTTACAATGTGAATCTTCTTTTCATCCTCCCAACCTCTCCAAAAGAAATTCCTTTGGAGTTGTTCCAGCCTATTTGCAATTTTGTTTGGGATGGGGAAAAGAGATAGGAAATAAGTGGGGAGGTTGGAGAGGGTGCTCTTAATCAATGTAACCCTACCTCCAAAAGATAGATATTTTGCCTTCCAAGAGGTCAGCTTCTTCTCCATTCTCTCAACAATTGAGCACCAGATTGAGGAGGAAGAGTATTTGGCCCCGAGAGGCAGGCCCAAGTACTTTATCGGGAGGAAATCAATTTGACAACCCATCCCTTTTGCACATTCTTCTAAATTTGCAAATTGGAGGAAATCAATCGAGTCATAGCAGCATCTACAAAACATAGGGTATCATATGCAAATTGGAGGATATTGGCTTTCTCCTTTCCAGGGGAGATTGCAAACCCATTCCATAAACCAGATTCTGCAGCCTTCTTGCTAAAAAGTGTGGGGATTTCCATAACACAAATGAACAGCAAAGAGGACAGGGGATCTCCCTGCCTTAGACCCCTAGAGCTAGCAAAAAGCCCCGTGGATTGCCCATTAATCAGGATTGAAAATTTTGGGGTATTAATACATACTTTGATCCAATTCCTCCACTTTTGTCCAAAATTCATGCTATCCAACATACGGTCCAGACAATTCCAGTTGAAGTCATATGCTTTCTCAATATCAAGTTTACAAATCACACCCGGGGTTCCCTCTCTTCTTCTAGAATCAATTAACTCGTTGGCAATTAAAATTGAGTCTACCATCTGCGTCCCTGGCACAACAAGCACTCTTATTATTGGAGATTATATTGCCTAACACCCCTTTCATTGTTTCTGCCAGGACTTTAGCCAATATTTTATAAAAAACAGTGCAGGAGGCAAATTGGCCTAAAATCCTTGTTGGTTCGGCTGTTTTTAGTGTTTATGTTAGTCATATTTGTGTCTTAAGTTCTTAGTTATTGGGCCTAAACTTGTTTAATGTTTTATTTGTCTAGGTGTCCCATCACTAATCAGGGGCATTCTAGTCCATTCATGTAACATTATTTTATAATCATCTATATAAGAGTGTAGGGCCGGCTGAAGAGAAGAGCAGCCTTTCTCAAATCTTCTTCTCTTCTTCTTCTTCTTCTTCTTCTTCTTCTTCGGCTGCTGTATTCCAGCAAACAATCCTTATTGTTCACAGCCCCCTCAATTTTTGGAATGAGGGTTATAATTGTGACATTCAAGCCTCTTTACAGAGAGGCATTTGCATGAAACACCTGGAACACTTTCATCAAATCCTCTTTCACAAAATTCCAGCATTTCAGATAGAAAAGGTTTGTGAGACCATCCGGCCCAGGCGATTTATCTCCTTCTAATTTCTTAATTGCTGCACTAATTTCCTCTTCTGTAAAAGGTCTTTCAAGCCATAATTTTTGATTTTCATCCAGCTGCTTGAAAGGAAGATTAGAAGGAAAGGGTCTATGCATCCAGTTTTCCTTGTAGAGCTTTTTATAAAAGGAAGTTGCTACTGATTTAATCTCTGAATCTGAGTCCCCGCTCCTATCTTCCCACGCCAACTTATTAATAGATGAAACTCTAGCTCGGGCATTTGCCATTTTGTGAAAGAAATGTGTGTTTTTATCACCCTCCTTTAACCAAGTGATTTAGCTCTTTGTCTCCACTTTATTTCCTCTTTCACAAGCAATTTGTCAAAGCTGTTTTTTGCTTCAGATCTTTTCAGCCTCAACTCTTTAGAAATTGGACTCATCTCTTCAGCTCTATCAAAACTCCAAATTTAACTTTTTCTCCAAACTCCAAAATTTTCTCCAATCCCCAAATTGAAAATTTTGTTGTTTGTTTATGTTATTTTACCTATTTATTGTTTATGTATAACAATATTGAAGGGTCTTTTGATATTTGGAATTTAACATGTAAATAATTCAATGGGACGTTGATAAAAAATTGATCCAGTGGGACCCCTAGCTGGTGGATGGTTTGGATTGGTCACAGGATCGTTCCATGTAGACAAATAATTTTTAGTTCATGTGGAGAAGCTCCCTAATGGCCCACTGGGGGAACTTTTTTGATATATGTTTGTATGCCACCATTTTATCCACCATAGTTTCCGAGGCTCCAAGGCTAGGCGATGGCGGGGGGGGGGGGTGCTTGTGGCAGTGTTGCCAGGCGATGGATTTTTTTTTCTATTTTTTGAATAAATACCATGAATTTGATTGGACAAAATTTTGTTTTCTTCCTTGCTTATCAGTTCAAGTTTTGAAGTCTTCAAGGGTTCACGACAGCATGCATTTTTATTGAGCCCCCTAACAAGTAAGAACATAATAAAAAGAAACTAGTAGGTTTTTTTCATCAGAGACTAGTATTTTAACTCACAAACTGAATAATGTGTTTTATTATCATAATTTCAAAAATTAAAAATATAAAAGTATATAATAGCACCATATACAAAGTACTTTGGCAATAAAGTGAGGTGGTCTTCCATGGGCACCTTGTTGCCTGGGTGTTATCTTGACAACATTGTTATCCACAAAATGTTCCACTTTTTTCTCTATGGCCTCGTTCACTTTCTGGTAAAAAAAAGGCGGTAAGTGGGTGGGCCACATGGAATTGCAATAACCCTACATTTGGTTGCCGCTACAATGGGGTCCATGGTAAACTTCGCCCCCCCCCCCCGGAGAGTACTGGTTACCTGGAGGCTTATCCACCCACCAAAAACTCAAATCTCATGGATTTTCACACCCTTGCTAACATTTCACCCGGCTGAACACCGTATTTGTGAGTACCTGGGCAGCGTTTCCCCAGGAATCACTTTCTAGGGGAAATGCATTACCCAGGTAACTCAATACGGACGAGGCCTATATGATGACACATGAAGTGGGAATAGTTGCATCTTAGTAATGTTGTGCCATTCCCTGTTTCTTTAATCTGAAATTCTTTCAATTTATTATGTAAAATTGGTTGCCCAGTTCAGCTATTTGTCTGGTTTACATGATTGTTAACCTGGCTTAGAAAGTAGGAAAATGGACTGTTTAAACTTGTATCAGACTGTAGGGGCAAGCAAGTAGGAACTAAATTATGGCCCTATATGGTGCACAGAATTGCTTAGAACAGGAAAGAGAAGATAAATGGTGGGTTTTCTGAACATGCAGTTTTCATTCCGTCAGCCTGATGAGGGTCCAAGGGGAATTTATGAACTACTTTTATTTATTTGTAATTTTCGATTGAAGCTGGTAATATTTGCTGTTAATTTGCTCTGTGAACATTGAATTTGATGTAGTTGGTTTATCTTCCCTATATCCATGTTGAGGCTGTTGACATGGTTGATTTATAGCTATTAAGTGAATGTGAAAGTAGCATTGTGATCTGGATTAATAGTTGATCATCTTTTCTAGTGATGAAAATGCATGAAGTTAGGTACTTAACTGTATTTTTTGCTTGCAGGAATTTATCAGTAGTCATAAAGAACCAGTCACAGGCAGCTATGCCAAGATTGACAGTGGATTGAGATCTTATTCTCAGTTGGGTAATGCTTCTTCATATCCTTCATCTTCTTTGTCATCACAATCACTAGGTGGATACGGTTCTTCTGGTGTTGGGGGTTATAGCAGTTTTAGGCTCTAAATTATAACCTGCTTGTTATGTGGGATTTCTTATGTTCAGACTCTCATTCATCCCTCTTTAACTTCCTATTTAGAACAGTTCTGTTGTGATGTAACTTTGTAGAGTCCAGAGATGGGACCTTTATTTACACTATCTTGGTCAGTGATGATGAGGTTAGTCTGATCAGATGGCCAACGCTGGCTACTTTGTTGTGGACTCTGGAAAAGAAGAGAGAGAATGTTCCATTGTGGTAGTGGTTTTATTTTTATTAGTTTTAAATATTTGTTGTTAGTAAGTGCATTTATGTTATGCTCCATGCCTGTTTCTGCAATGGTCTCTGTCAATGTTTATGGGTAAAAAACATGTTTTGATGCTTGGCCTGCCCACCTTCGTGCTCATTACATGCACATGACCTGACTTGGCACAAACCTGATCTTTCATCTTACTCAGCCTGTTCTTCCATGGAGCAGAATGCCATTGCCATGGATATATTCTTCCTTTTGTTACTTTTAGGGAATCTCAACATTTGAAATTGGATGGTGATAAATGATCGTATTTAATCAATTTGGATTAGCAACTGAATTGCCGTGGGGTGCTGGGTTAGCTGCTTGAATCTCTAATTATTCTTCCAAGTTTAGACAGCTTGGAAAGCCATCATCCATCCCTTCATTGGCTCCAAGTGACAGTTGTAAAAATGTCTGGTTGACTTATTGAAATTTGAAACCGTGCCAATAACTTCCAATGAAATGGTGTGCAAAAGTACTCAATGACTCGATGTCCAGTTTTTTATTGTTGAGGGGTCTCGGTATATATCGTAACCACTGGGATGTGTCGGAAATATGCTTGAAATTTGAGAACACTAGGGTGGTGTTTGCTACAGTGGTGTTGCGTTGACACTGCATTTTGGGTTGATCTATACAAATTTGGAGAAATATGTGCTAATCCATCATATATTATTTCAAATAGAAATGTGCATGCGAGCAAGAAGTGTCAAATGTAGCTTTTTAAGTAAAAATAGCAATCTGTATAATGCTTTTAAAACATTTCAAGTGGAGAAATCTCTCTTACAAAATGTATTTAATCAATCCAAAATGAAATGTCATAATTGTCATTGTATCAAACACCTTCTAGGAAAGTTTGCAAGGTTCACTAATGCATGGATAACATCATTCCAAAGGCTAATGATTATAGATAAGGTATAATATTAAAACATATGGGAAACATTTAAAGAATTTATGTGAAGTATTGAATATCAATCAATAGTCAAATGTTAGAAGAACTAAGAAGTGAATAGGTTTTTGGCGTCTTGCGTGACTAAAAGGGCTGATTTTTGTATTTTTATTTTTTTAATTTTCATTCTGGTATTTCAAAGGTAAACATGCTATGAGGTTCTAATGTTTAAACATAAAGAACTCCCCTAAAGCCCTGCATACAGCGCCTTGGTGGGTTTAAATGTCGGTAATGATATGATACGTTGTGATATATTGTACCATCATACTTAGAGATAGGATTTAAGTCGCTGATGCGTTACATACGATAGATGTGTTATATATTTGGCATGGTTTCCAAAACCGGACCGGAAAAACCGGGAACCAGTCAGGTGATCGGTTATGTTTTTCCCCAAAACTAGAATTTTGCCAAAAAAAACATTGATTTGGTCGGTAAATTGCTGACCCGGGCGGTTGAACCATTCAACAGTTTTGATCATTTTTTATTTTTTTAATTTTCTTAATTTTTTATTTTTTGTCAGAATGGTCTGTCCCTGATTGGTTAGTTAGCCGGTTCGCCTTCGCCTCTATTGCCCATGAGTTTGAATCTCCAAACAAAAAAATGTTTTAACATGATCTGTGTCTACACATTGGGGGTGAGCAAATAGGTAGGTTCTACTTGGAACTGAATGGAACTAACCTCAATCTGGCCTTGAATCTGTCCTGTCCAATCTGCTACAAGGTAGGGTTTGGTTCCAAATTCTTGGAATCGACCCCCACCCAGGTTGGTTATAAGGTCTAGGGGTTTATCCTAATCGAACCGACCTGATGAACCAGCCATGATTGGCTTTGGAAGTGAATTTGCTTTGAAATAAACTGCAAAGCATTTTTAAGTATGTGAAGATTTGAACCCAAGCACTAATAATTACAAAACCCATGGTCTTACTTGATCATGGAGTTGAGTAAGTAATTTGATCATTTGTTTTCATTTTAATATTTGAATGTGTATAATAAATAATGTAAAAGGTAATATTTACAAAATTTAAATTATATTGACAATTTTTGAACTATATGTTAATATATCATGATGATCTATATATTAAATTATTCAATTTAATCAATAAAGATAATTTAAGTTTTAAAATATATATTATCATTATTGAAAAACAAATTTTTAAAGAAAAAATAGATTCCATGGATAGACCCTGTTAAAGCTAGATCAACCCTGAATCGACCTTCATAGAGTAGGTTCCGGTTTCAAAAACTTGAAACAAACCCCTACAGGGTGAGTTCCAAGTTCTACTATGAACCAAACTAAACTGACCTATGCTCATCCCTACCACACATCTCATGCATGATGGGTCTGTCTTATGGTGATGTGCCACCACAGGTAATGTTGGAAGTGTGTTGGGACAGTTTTTGCTTTTTTTTTAACGGGTTTGGGAATTTTGTTTGGAGATACCAACTCATTGTCCACATATTTTTACACCGTCAAGGCCATAACATTTTATTAGCACGACGCTCTAACTAACTGAGCTAAGTTTCAGCAGTGGTTCTCGTTGTTGAAGAAGGAAGGAGCTACGCTGATAGGAGGAATCCAGTTGGCTTCCATACCTGCATGGCTTAAGTACATCTTGATTTGCTTGGGGTTAGAAACCTCGTGGCTCTTTTGTTTCTTCTCCTTCGTTACCATCCTCGGATGCGGTGGGACAGTTGTAACGGGGATATTTCATTGACGACACGTTTCATTACTAGCGTATACAAACGGAAACCTATTCGGCTCAGGGAGTATTAATTGTCTCCAATTAACTTCCTCATGTTTTTTTATCTATGATGTAACTTGGTTTGTTTACGTCGTAACTAGAGTGATAAATTTATCTTGATATTTAGTTTAGTTTTAACCGGATGTCCCCTTTCCTAATACCTAGTTCTCTGAACCATAAGTGATTAAATTGTAAGTTTTAGTTTCTGATTATGCACGATTTGGAAGCTCATAGTTGGAAGATGATCTGGATCTTAATCGCGTAACGAGTTAGACCAAGTTGTAAGACAGAGAATTAGAGAATCCGGGGTGGCTAACCCGGTGATGTCGCTCTAATGCTTAAGTCAATACTGTATTTAGGGCTGCAAGTCAGGCCGGGTTAGGTCGGGTTGAGGTCAACCCTAGCCCAACCCTAAGTTCTATACCCCAACCCTAACCCTAGCTACATTCTTTCAACCCTAACCCAACCCAACCCAACCTTCTTCCCATCCCTTAAAACCTCATATAATTTCTCAATTTTAGATATTAACTCAACTTTCACTACATATATAAATCCTATGTTTCATTAGTATTTGTTTATTGATGTTTTATTTTTGTTCTTTTGGTACAAAATTCAGAAAAACAAGTGTTAGAAATGACTATAGTTTATTATGAGTTATGACTTACGATAAAACACAAAATTTTCAAAAAACATAAAATAATATTATTAAGGTTTTAGTCTTTCTGATTAGGATTAACTAAAGTGATTATCTTAAAAGAAATACATGATACTATGTGGTGGGGCTATACAAATATCATGAATCTAAACAAATAAGTGATTCAATGTATGTTATATATTACATATAACATATATTTATATATGACATGTACTATAGAGTCGGGTTTGGGTTGGGTCGGGTTGGCTAAGGGGTCAACCCTAACCGAACCCAAAGTAAAGTCGGGTTCATGAATTTCAACCCTAACCCTAAYCCGAACATCAATCCGATCCAACCCAACCCAACATTTTCGGGTTGGGTTAGAGTTGGGTTTGGGCCAACCCAACCCAAGTTGCAGCCTTAGCTGTATTATGGTTGTGAGCTGAAAACTTGAGTGCTAAATGCTAGTGAGCAAGTAATTGTGCGTACTTGAGTCTTGGGAGTTGATGCCCTTATATAGCTGGGACACCGTGGGTCTTGCGAAATGCTCCTGAAATCTCTGGCTCGTGACGTGGGGATCTGTTTCGCTTTGGAAGGTGGGTAACGTACCAATTAAGAAGGCTCACTGCTTCCTTCCGATTTGGGCGGGATGAGGATAAGGCCTACAGTTATGCGACGCGATTCCGAGAAGTTCGGAGATGACTAGCGAACTTCTAGGTTCGGTTATGTGGGTACCGAGGTGCTCTGGTTCTGAAGTGACCAAGCTCCCGAGGTCCTGCAATCTGCTGTCGTGGCACCACACGTTGATCTATCATCTGGCTGGCAGGCCACATCCACGTGTCCCTTATTCATTAGGTCGGTCCAAATCACCCCTCATCAATTGCCCCTCCACTCCTCGTGCCAGGGGTCCCGACCCGGTGTGGGGAGTTCATGGTGAGCCCATATGGGTTTGGCACGACTTTCTGGCGGTTTAGGAGGTGACTCGGACCTGCATAACTCGTTGCCTCGGCCTGGGAATACCAAGATCGCGTACCGGGTACGGCGCGAACGTCACGCTATTTATAAACTCCGCGGACGTCAAAACATGTGCTCAATCGATTTTGACCTCGGGTAGCGTGTAGCCGATTTTCATGGGAGCCGTCAGATCGCGTAGATCTCGACCGTTGAGTTCTAGTCGCAGTGGCTATAAATAAGGGCCAGAGGGACCCATTTTTTTTGCCACATATTCTGTGCTCGAGTTTGTTGAGGTTGTGTTTTAGTCTTCCAGGTCGGTGTTAGTTGCCTTTTGCATCCGAGGCCTTTCACTTTCTTCGATCTTCTTGGTGAGTTCGCCTCTCTTTGTTTCCGTTTCTTTTTGTCTTGTTCCTCTAGTTCGGTATGTCTAGTGTCAGTTTAGGTAGTTTTTTTTATGGGAATGAAGAGCCTATCGGAGCCAAGGTGGGCACCTCGGTGTAGGCTGTAGAGTCACACTCAGCCGAGGTGAATGCCTCAACACAGGGTTTGGACTCCAACCCGTCCGAGGTGGACTCACCTCAGCAGGAGCGCGAGGCTTCCGGCAAGGGGGGCTCCATTTCACGCTGGGCTCGGGGACCAGACAGCTTTGGTCCTTCCACGATGACAACTGACACACTTTTGTCTCTGGTAGCTCAATACAAGCTGCCTGATAGCCTTGTATACAACATTCCCTTAGGTAGTTTTCCTTGGGATCACGGTCATGATGAGATCG